TCCTCCTATCAAGAAGAAGACTGGCGAAGAATGGGAAGTCGAATACATAGTCGACTCTCGTGTCATTCGTGGCAAACTTCAATATTTGGTGCATTGGAAGGGTTATTCCAAAGCTGAAGAAACTTGGAAACCCGCTGCAAATCTAAAGAGATCTCCGCGTCTCATCAAGGAATTTCACAGAAAATATCCTGACGCACCTCAACCAATATCTCTCATTGATACAACTCCGGTCGATGGCGTTTTTCCACCCAGGAGAACAGGTCAAGTCTATGACCCCGTCACTGATACCATTCAGATATACGATCAGGATAGAGATGATTGGGAGGATCATTCTAGAGATCTTCAAATTACATTCGACAATCCAAATGCACACGCATCAAAATATGCCCATGAAGACGATGCTGGAATGGATTTAGCCACATCAGAACCAACAACCATCTGAGCACACTCAAGAGGATTGGTATCCACAGGACTTCACTTTACAACACCTTGAGGGACCTATGGTCGAATTACACCACGAAGTGGGTTAGCTGTCAAAGGCATCGACGTAGGTGCTGGTGTTATCGACAGAGGATACACAGGCGAAATCAAGATTTTGCTAATCAATAATACAAATGATGACTTCACAGTCAATTTGGGCGATCGAGTTGCTCAACTTATCATTGAACGTATTATCACCCCTGTCATTTCACTGGTTGATTACCTCAAACCCTCAGCCCGAGGTCACTGTGAATTTGGTTCAACAGGCGATAATTACTTCCAGAAACCATGCAAAAAGCCAGATTCAGGACAAACTGTCTAGAAAGGGGGGTACTGTCACAGATTTTCACGTTTTCACCTCTGCACGTGACCAAGACATTATTTGACATCAGCGCTAGGCTGTTCAGAAAGGAACGAGCCAGTACGCGAAGTACTAATAGTCCTAGATGCCCCGAAGGTCCAGGTCTAGTCACGTGACATATCACGTGATATCCACACATGTGACAAGTAGTGCTGGTATTAGGTAAGCCTAACTTATACAGTAATATCATCCCACCTAGAAGCAACGGTCGGACTCCGGAAGAATCCAACGAAGGAGATACACACCACCGAAGATATGTCCTTAAGGGGATATTAGTTCACATGCACGAG